TTTTTCCAGGCAGTCCTCATCAGTCTAAAAATGCGCTTGGATGAGGTATTAGAATGAGGTAAGGAGAAGACATGCTCGCATATTTTTCCCAAGCCTGGGGATTTATCGTTATTACGCAAAAATTCTACTCATTTCTTCTCTGCTTTTAGGCCATCTAACTTTAAGTATTTTGGCGAATCATAAAAAAAAGAGAGAATTACAATCTCCTCAAAAAAGGCAACAATGTCTTTCGGCATTTTTAATATATTTATTAAATTATAAAAACCATAAATTGATGGTTTCTGTTTCAAGGTCATAATATTTATACATTTGTAAATAGAGTTATTAAAATCAAATTTTGATTGTAAATATTCTAAAATTGTCTTAATGAAAATATCTGCATCATTTAAAAATGTATTAATTAGAGTATTATTTGAACATTTTAATATAATATTTTTAGCAATAGCGCCATAAAATTTATTATCAATTTTTAACTGTAGAGATGAGCAAAGCTGTAGCATGATTTTGTGAATCTTTTTTAATAAGGAATATTCTTATTGCAACTGAATATTAACTGCATGAAGTAGATTTCCTACATGTGAAACGAATCCCAAATATGCTTCTGATTTTTCAAAATTTTAGGACAGCTTTTAAAATCTCTATTTGAGAAGTATTTTTTAAGGGTTTGTAAAATTTTTAAATTATATCGATGGCAGGTATTAATGACAACCACCTGATAGGTATATATCGCAACAACTCACACCATTCCAAATCAGACCACTTCACAAACTCTTTTAATTTATTAACTTTTTTAGTTGATGAACTAAATTCGTTAAAACATTTCATCACAATTATTTCGACATACACAGATAGTACATTCATTGCCTTCTTGTAAGAATTATGTAGTATATGGCATATACAACCAATTGGTATTAATTCATTATTGTGCTGCCTCAATTCCGTAACTTTGGTTTTTGCCAAAATTTACAGAGGCATTATCAGCGCAGAAAGCTGACATGCAATTCATTGATAACCTTGAATCAGCTATATTTACCATTATGTGGCTAGCTACATTGTTGGATTTTTCACTATCGGAGGAAAAAATTTTAACAGTTTTATTGAAATATTCTTATTGAAATAGCGAAGGATCGAGGGAAATGTTTTAACATTTCCCTTATTAGATGCATCTATTAGAATTGCAAATGAATGCTCATCTTTCAAATCATCTAGAATTGAACTCTAGGATTCAGGTAATACTTGTGATAGCCTTGCTCATTTTTGTTCTGCCACAATTAAGGTTTGCACTTATATTCGAGTCGTTAAATGCCATGAGAAAAAGATTCGACCCACATTGTGATGATATAGCTTGAATGTTGAACTACATGGTAGATGTATACGATTTCCGCAAATGTAGTTGCATTTGTATTATTTACTATTTTTGAGAATATTTTTGTATTGCAATCGATGTAGATTTACTCCACTGTACTGACTTATATGAATGAAATATTTATTCTTGGATAAAAATAAAACAGGATAGAAAAATATTTTCAAACTGACATGTTTTTCGAATAAATATTTAAAATTTATTTTAAAAATGAAAAATAATCAATTAATGTCTCTCAAAATTATTATTTATATATTAAAAACGTTAAAATATAAAAAAATAAATTCGGGAGAAATTAAAAAATTGTGGTAGATTTTTGCGGAATATTTCCAATCGCGGTAGTTTTGCGGGAGAGAGATGTCTGCGTGTAAACTAAAAAATTGCGGGAGTCTCACGCTGATTGGTGTAGACATGGCAACTCTGTTCTCACCCCAACAGAGATCTTCTTTTTTTTCTTAATCTTACTTGGTGGTTCCGTCCATGGGTAGATGATAATATCTATCTATTTAATACATCTATGATAATCTATTATAAAAATCCTTAAAAAACGTCAATCAAATTTAGCCAATAGTGTTCTTTTAAAACATATTTGTCCAATAAAAATGATTATAGCGTAATCGGTCCAATAGTAATCACCTTACCTAACTCAACATTCATTCAATTTCAATTTAGCCACCAGTTCTATTTATAAATCATATGGAAAACTCCAGAGTTGTTAAAGTATCTAGATACTTTAGATACTGTATCTAAAAGTTATCTGTATCTGTTTTTAGGTACTTTTTAAGATACATTTTAAGATACATTTTGATATACTTCTATTTAACGCTTTTTTATATTATAAATAAAAATACTTGAATGTAAAATGTATTTCATTTCATATGAGCATATAACTTAATATTAATATATATATTAAAAAATTATATATATATATATATATGTAAAATATTAAAACTTATATATAAAAAAGAATATATAAATATTAATTAAATATTATGTCCGAGTTATCAATAACAAGCAAATTCTGATATTACAATCCATCTCAAGGAATTTGCCATTTTTAATTGCAATGGAATTGGTATTTTATTTTATTTTATTCTATTATATTAATTTTTAAGATTATTATTGATGACGAAAATGACGAAATTCTTCCATGGTTAATTTATAGACCCTATTTTAAAATAATATCTCAAAATAAAGAAAACAAATCTCTGTTAGTAAAATGTTTGCCATGTCTACCAAAAAATATGCAAATTTCAGTTAGCATTACCTCAACTTGCAATATTGTAAAACATTTAAAGGTATAGATACTAAATAAATGTTTAGAATTTTAAATTCTAAGAGAAAACATCAAACACTCTTAATCCAAATAAAAAAGGGGAAGGAGAAAAAATCTATTAAAGAAAATATTGGACTAGGCTCCATCGTCCGTTCATTTATTTTCCAAGAGACCTCAGACTTTAACCCAAACCACTTTAGATGATTTAATAACTGATTTTATTATAGATAGCATTCAGCCATTTTCAATTGTTGAAAATCCTTCATTTATAAAAATGATCAAAACATTAGCTCCACAAAAAATATAATTTCCCGACAGACAGTGGTTTTTATTGAAATCTAATATTATTTATAATCATTTAATCATATATTATATTATTTTACTAATGATACATAATAATTATTTATATTAATGATATATAATAATTATTTATATTAATGATATATAATAATTATTTATATTAATCATATATAATAATTATTTATATTAATCATATATTATATTAATATCTAAAAATCATTATTTTAGTTATATTTTGATAAATGTGATATCGAGTCAATAAATTTTTTCATTTAATGAATTTTCACAATACAATCCTAATTTAGGTTTATTCAAACCTTATCTAAGAGTATAATAAAAAATGTATCTGTGCATAGATACATTTTAAGTATCTTTATCAAGATAACTTTTTAGAAGTTGTATCTGTATCTAGATAAATTTTTAGACGATTTATCTGTATCTAGATCCATTTAAAAAGTATCTCTGGAAAACTCTATGAAAATATTATTATATACGCAAATATATACCTAGATTTCAGAATAAACTTGCTGGAAGATTTAAAGATGGTATGCAAATATATACCTAGATTTCGGAATGAACATTTTTGATAATAGAAAAGTGTATAATTAGTTTTACAATGTAAATCACAACAGTCTCTGAAAATTTAAAAACAATTATTAGGCGTAGAGAATTAGATATTCAAAATTTTATCTTGCAATCAAGGTACATCTGAGAAAGTTGCTTGTAGACTGAATTGAATTTGTCCCTGAATTATTAAATTTATTTACAGTGTCACAGGCCCATATTTTATTCAGCCAAACTATAATGTAGAAAAAGATGCACAAGCTTTGCTCCCTACCATTGAAAGTATACCCATATTTTACTTTATTTATTATACTAAATTTAATATTTTAAGTGAAAATTCTATGCAATCTACAGTATAAATTTTTACCAATTGATTTTAGTAATTTTAATGATTTTAGGCCCGTATTTAATTCAGCCAACCTAAAATGCAATAGAAGAAGATGCAGAGGTCATGCTCATTTCTGCTGAAAGTATAAAATTATTTTACTTTATTTATTATATTTAATTTAATTTTTTAAGTGCGAATTCAATTCAGCTTGCAAATGATAATAAATCAGGAGAAGAAGAAGCTATTGAAGTTTTTTAATCCTTTAAATAAACATAATTAATAAATCTATTTTAGATGATGGTGATTTTCCAATAGATATAGCAATGCTCTAATTGATTTACATCAATATAGTTTTTATATGTATTTAATATGCAATAGAGATATATCATATTATTATGTGTTAATATTTTATAATTGTATTATCATTGTGTTATTATAATATTATATATTATTCAGTGCAAATATAAATGATCAATCTGTTTATGCAATATATAAATACTTAAAATAAATCATTTATTAATATATATGGAAGGCTTTAACACTAAAAATAAAAAATTTAAAGCCTATTATTTTGAAAGGGACACTTCAATAATGTATGTAAAAGAGTTATTATTTAAAATATAAATAATTAAAAAAACACTTCATTTACTATGAATGAATTTTTATAAGAAAGAAAGATGTGTTTACCATGCTTTTAAATTAAAATTACAAAAAATTAGTATTTATATTGAAAATATATTAATACTATGTTTAGGATTTAAAAATGATTCATATTATATTATGCACATTAGGCAATGAAAATTTATTGTGAAAAAATTAATAACATATTTATTGCTCTAGATTAAATAATTTTATATAAATCATAATATATTTAAAAAATTAATATTGATTATTATATTTAATTAAATATATACCATACCAAAATAAAAAAAATAAATATTTTATTGATAATATGTAAAGAAGATAGAGCTTATCTAATGGCCATATATATTAATATAATAAACAAAAAATTAGCATTTATAAATTGACAATATATAAATACCATGTTAATAATATTGGGAAAAATTAACATATATTTATTAATATACTAAATTTTTACTATTAATAATAGATATAATATTTATGACTTTTTTAGTGGAGTAATATATTATGGGAACATTTTTTTATTTTTTGCTATTCTGGGTTTCGCTTAGTGGCTTCCACCACTTAAAATGGGCATATCCAGTGCGGTTGACCACTAAATAGCATTGCTCTAAATAGCATAAATTGAGTATGTTTTAAAACGTCTTCAAAATAACATATTCAAAAAATGGCCGCCATATCTGAAGCGATAAAAAATTAAAAGTGCAAGTAATATATTAGTTTTTTAAAAAGTTTTGTATACTGGTTTAAATTTTAGAAATTTTCTTAGGCTTAAATTTTGATATTGAAAATGATCATAATATAATTTATAAAGACGTATTAATTAAATATATTTAGAGTTTTCACTAAGAAGTTTTGAATACTGATTTGATATTGAACTTAATGATCATAATATAATTTATAAAGATGTATTAATTAAATATAGTTAGAGTTTTCACTAAGAAGTTTTGAATACTGACTTTGACTAAGAAGTTTTGTATACTGGTTTAAATTTTAGAAATTTTCTTAGAGGCTTAAATTTTGATATTGAACTTAATGATCATAATATAATTTATAAAGATGTATTAATTAAATATAGTTAGAGTTTTCACTCAAAAGTTTTGAATACTGACTTTGACTAAGAAGTTTTGTATACTGGTTTAAATTTTAGAAATTTTCTTCTTAAATTTGATATTGAACTTAATGATCATAATATAATTTATAAAGATGTATTAATTAAATATAGTTAGAGTTTTCACTAAGAAGTTTTGGATACTGATTTAAATTTTAGAAATTATCTTAAAGGCTTAAATTTAAAAAAGAGTGATTTAGTTGATTATTGATATTGAACTTGACAACACAAATCACACCATTAAATTGGATTAATTTTATTTTCAATTAATAAATGATTATATTTAATTAATTAAGATTCTAAAATAACTTAATAATATTAAATCAATTAAGCTTAAACTATCAATACTATATTTGACATTATGAGCAGGGTTGCCAGGTCAAAATTTTCAAATTGTGGGAGAAATTAGGTATTTTGTGGGAGAAATATAAAAATTGTGGGAGAAATTGCTCCGCAAAGGCTCGGCCTGCGGCCGGGATTTAGAATTGACTTAGTTATCCACTTATTATTTTTTATAAATATAAAATCTAATCGATTTTCCAAAATAAAATAGGTAATTATTTTTCAAAATAAAATAGCTAACTTTTTTCAAAATAAAATAGCCAACTATTTTTCAAAATAAAATAGCCAACTATTTTTCAAAATAAAATAGCCAACTATTTTTCAAAATAAAATAGCCAACTATTTTTCAAAATAAAATAGCCAACTATTTTTCAAAATAAAATAGCCAACTATTTTTCAAAATAAAATAGCCAACTATTTTTCAAAATAAAATAGCCAACTATTTTTCAAAATAAAATAGCCATCTATTTTTCAAAATAAAATATCCAACTATTTTTCAAAATAAAATAGGTAACTCTTTAAAATAAAATAGCCAACTATTTTTCAAAATAAAATAGGTAACTCTTTAAAATAAAATAGGTAACTATTTTCCAAAATAAAATACGCAACTATTTTTCAAAATAGGTAATTACTGTACGACACAAAATTTCTTAGAGTACCATCTTTATTATTAAAATAACATATTGATTTATTATAATATATTAATTTTGTTTAAAAATAATAACCAACGATCTTTTTTAAATACAAAAGAATGTAAACAAGATAAAATTTTATAAAAAAATTGTAATTTTACAATGTAAAAAAATAAATGTATAAATAAGATTTTATAAAAAAACAAACAATTTTAAATTTACAATGTAAAAAATATTTATAATCAGTGCGGGGAAGTTGTTCTACAGTATTTAGTTAATACAATGGGGGAAGGGAATATGATATTTTGAGGTATCAAAAATTTTCAATGCATAAATCAGTACAGGGCATTATATCAACATCTATTGCAAAACAAAAATATTCTTCAAAAATAAGAAATAATATAGATGCAACTACAGTTGCGGAAATGGTAAATACCTACATGCAGTACAACATTCAGAGAGTTACTCAACATCTCAATGTTGGTTGAATCTTTCCCCATAATATTTAACGACTAATATAAATGAAAAGTATACTTTGTAGAACACAAAATGAGCAAGGCTATAAACAATGATTTAGGATATATATCCAGAAGGTCAATTCTTGACGATTTGAAAGATGTGCAAACATATGCAATTCTAACAGATGCATCTAATAAGGAGATATCAAAACATTTCTTTTAATCCTCCCATTTTTCAACAAAATTAATGTCATTTCAATAAAACTATTAAAAAATTTTTCTCCAGATATGAAATATCCAAAGACATAGCTAACCATATATAATGGTAAATACGGCAGATTTGGCATTACCAATGAATTGCATGGCAGCTTTCTGATCTGATAATTCCTCAGTGAATTTGGCAAAACCCAGAGTGTATTTACAGAATTGAGTCAGCATAATGTTGGTTGACAGGTTCCTCCTAATACGCGCCATCGTAGAATTTTAAAATTTTACAAACCTTTAAAAAATAAATAGATTATAAAAGCTGTCCTAATATTTTGAAAAAAATTTTCAAAAATAAATGGCAGAAGTATATTTAGGAATTTTACATATAGGAAATCTACTATATGCTGTTAATATGCAGTTGCAATCAGAAGAATATAATTTAATAAAGGTTCACTAAATTATGCTGCAGAAATACCAAAGTAAGAATATTATTACTATTATCGTAATTATTAATAAGATTTAATATGATGTCATGTTTAAGGAGATTGTAATGCTTCTTTATTTTTATGATTTGCCAAAATATTCAAAATATTAATTTTACAATGTAAAAAATAAATTTATTTGATTTTATGCAAATGTATAAATAAGATTTTATAAAATATAGAAAGTCAAATATTTATAGTTAATTATATTTTATTTGAGATTTAAATAATGGAACTAAACGTTTACCGTCGTTATTAAGATATTTATAAAATTCCTGGCATGACATTTTATAATTTTGTTTAACCATTAACTCGGCCTCTAATGTTGTTAAAGCAATTCGATTTCTCTCCTTTCTCCAGGCAGTCCTCATCAGGCTAAAAATGCGCTCCGATGAGGCATTAGAATGAGGTAAGGAGAAAACATACTCGCAAATTTTTTCCAAGCATGGGGATTTATCGTTATTACGAAAAAATTCCACCCATTTCTCCTCTGCTTTTAGACCATCTAACTTTAAGTATTCTGGCGAATCATAAAAAATGGAAAAAATTACAATCTCTTCAAACAAGGCTTCAATGTCTATCGGTAATTTTAATATATTTATTAAATTACAGAAACCATCAAATGATGGTTTCTGTTCCAAGGTCATAATATTTATACACTTGTAAATAGAGTTATTAAAATCAAATTTTGATTGTAAATATTCCAAAATTGTCTTAATAAAAATATTTGCTTCATTTAAAAATACGTTAATTATAGTTATATTTGAACATTTTAATATGATATTTTTAGCAATAGCGCCATAAAATTTATTATCTATTTTTAACTGTAGAGATGAACAGAGCTGTAGCATAATTTTGTGAATCTTTATCAATAAAGAATCTTCTGATTGCAACTGAATATTAACTACATGAAGTAGATTTCCTACATGTGAAACTAATCCTAAATATGCTTCTGACATTTCATCTTCGAAAAAATTTTTCAAAATTTTGGACAGCTTTTAAAATCTTTATTTAAGAAGTATTTCTTTAAGGGTTCGTAAAATTTTAAAATTCTCTCGATGGCAGGTATTAATGATAACCACCTGATAGGTACATATCGCAACAACTCACACCATTCCAAATCAGACCACTCCACTAATTCTTTTAATTCAGTGACTCTTTTAGTTGATGAACTAAATTCGTTAAAACATTTCATCACAATTATTTCGACATCTACAGATAGTGCATTCATTGCCTTCTTGCAAGAATTATGCAGTATATGGCATATACAGCCAATTGGTATTAATTCATTATTGTGCTGCCTCAATTCGGTAAATACACTTTGATTTTTGCCAAAATTAACAGAGGCATTATCAGCGCAGAAAGCTGACATGCAACTCATTGATAACCCTGAATCAGCTATATTTAGCATTATGTGGTTAGCTATATCGTTGGATTTTTCACTATCGGATGAAAAAAATTTCAATAGTTTTATAGAAATGCCCTTATTCTTGTTGAAATAGCGAAGGATCAGGGGAAATGTTTTAATATTTCCCTTATTTGATGCGTCTGTTAAAATAGCATATGGATGCCCTTCTTTCAAATCGTCTAGAATTGACCTCTTGGATTCAGGTCCTAACACATTTGTGATAGCCTTGCTCATTTTTGTCCTACCACAAGTAAAGTTAGCACTTATTTTGGAGTCGTTAAATATTATGGGGAAGAGATTCGACCCACATTGTGATGACAGATAGCTCTGTGAATGTTGAACTACATGATATGAATATACAGTTTCCGCAATTGTAGTTGCATCTGTATTATTTATTATTTTTGGAGAATATTTTTGTATTGCAATAGACGTTGATAGACTCCCTTGTACTGACTTATGCTTTGACGATTTTTGGTGTCGCAAAATATCATATTCCCCCCCCCATTGTAGTAACTAAATAGTGTATATTCTACATTTAGCATGGCTACCTGTAAGCCTCATCAACCAAACATATTTTTGCTCCCATATCTTGTTATATTTACATATATATTTTCTTCTTTTATTGACTTTCTCGGATTCTATAATATATAAAATATAAAAAGATAATCAATTTTGTTAGGATATTTAAAGCAAAATTAATTATCAAAGTGCTATTTTATTAAAAAAATGATTTATATGAACTAAAAACATATCCTAATTTTATATGCTTATTTTCAAAAATTATAAGAAATAAATACTATTTTCAGAAAGATCTCCAGTTTCATTCGAATCGGATATAGACGGCGAATATTTTGGAGACATACGTTTTAAAGCTTTTATTCCTATATAATTATTTTCAAATGTAAATTAAGAATATTTGTCATTAATTTTAATACGATAGTTAAAAATATAGAATGCGCATAATTTTAAAAATTATTTCCTTACTAAATAAATTATTAATATTTGAATGCAAGTGGAACTTATCTAAGAAAATAAAAATAAAAAAAAATTTCCTAAATATTATACATATTTTATATTTTTATTTATATATACCATGATAGTTATCTTCTAGGTGAGATTTAGATTGTTTTGAGGTTAAAGCACTAGTTTCCAATACTGATGTTGTTTTTTGGACAATAAAATGTTATAATTAAATATATAAAAAGAAAAATTATTTTCAATATAAACTATTTATGTACTATTATATATTTATAATTATACATACTATATACATTAATTATACATACCACGAACACGATCACGAAGATGCTTAAGTTCCACCACCTCAGGAATCACTGGCACTGATTCCTTGAAGAAATTCTTAATTGATTTTTGTTTCATACCAGTTGAGGTTGTTGAGGTGCCAATACCAAATATGATGTTGCTTTTTGGACAATAAAACATATATATTTTAATTAAATATATAAAAATAAAAATTATTTTCAAAAATGCTTTTGTACTATTATTTATACACAGCTTATCGTCGATCTAGAATTGGGAATGGATTGGATGGATGGAGATTAGCGGAAAAATAAAATAAAAGAACTAGACATATTTTTCGAATAAATATTTAAAATTTATTTTAAAAATAATCAAATACTGTCTCTCAAAATTATTATTTATATATTAAAAACATTAAAATGCTAAAAAAAATTGTGGGAGAAATTAAAAAATTGTGGGAGATTTCTAATTGTGGGAGTTTTGTGGGAGTGAGATGTATGTGGGTAAACTAAAAAATTGTGGGAGACTCCCACTGATGGGGGGAGGCATGGCAACCCTGATTATGAGTGATCTTGATATTCCATTTTTACAATTGTTAACAGTAACAATATAATTTATATGTATTACTCTAATAATTATAATAGCACTGATTTAATATAGATTTATATATTCTTAATAAATTTTTAAAAATAATTCAAATATTTATAGATGATAGCCACTGTTGCCAATAATTTGGAATGTTACCTTAAGATTCAAAATATTAAATTTGAAGTAATATTGTTTTATATATTTTTTTACCTTTAAGAAAACTCAAAAAGGAAATCATTTAATAATTTATTTAGGGTACGAGTACCTTATAAAAAGTGCCAACAAAAAATTTATACACTTAAGTTGTCGTGATAATTGTTCTGGTAGAGCTAAGCTCTCATTAAAGGACATAATAATCACGATAGAACACACAGCGAAGTGTAAATGTAATAAAATAAATATTTAAGATATTTAAACATCTTTATTTTAAATAAGATAACACCCATCTTAGTCTTCCATCAACACTGATATCTTAAGTAAATAAAAATTTTAAAAATTCTTAATTTGACAATTTTCTACAATCTAGTTTTATCCAATGGTATTCCACATTTGGAACCACAAGTTTCTCCCATAGTGCCTGATATCTCAAGTAACTAAAAATTTTAAAAATTCTTAATTTGACAATTTTCTTTATAATCTAGTTTCATCTAATGGTATTCCACATTTGGAACCACAAGTTTCTCCCATAGTGCCTGACACAAATCTAGATTCCCCTCTTGACATAGCACAAGCCTTATTAGACTTAAATTCAAATATTTATGGTAAAAATAATTATAATAAATTGCATTAATATTATTTTTAATTAACTAGAGGCTCGTTTTGTCAAAAGCCAAAAGGGGAAAATGTTACTCTTCTTTCAGAACTATCTATATAGATTTCACTGTCAAAATAGGGACATTATAAAATATCGTTGTAGAGTAGCTGATTGTCATGCTAAATGCATATTTGATGGTGCTTATATTGCTTTGAGTATACATGATCAGCCTTTTGAAATAGGGACATTCGAGATGCTTAAAACTAAAGAAGCACTCGAAAACATTGTAGCTTAGAATCTCTTTGAGACACGCTTAAACATTTATCAACAAACTATGGATAAGAGATGTTTGGAGGATCCAGAAATAGAAAACTATTCTGAGGCGATACCATCATTTATATCTTTGAGGAGTCACATAGACAGACTCCTTATGAAATATCGGCCCCCTATGCCTCATTCGATTTTGGATATTGAGTTATCAGCAGAATATGCTATGACAACTCGCAATGAACGTTTTCTAATCCACGGAACAGGTAACTTATACGTTTTTGGTACTGATTCCATGTTGCGTTTGACCGAGGGTTCTAACATGATCTACATGGATGAAATTTTCATGTAGCTCCTTCCTTATTTTATCAACTTTATACCTTGCATGTTATGTATGAAGGTGTTATGATACCTATCATTCACGCTCTCCTTCCGGATAAGACAAAAGAAACATATATCCGGCTTTTTCAAATTATTACTAATTTTTGCGCCGAAAGCCAGATAACCTTTAATCCTCGATTTGGCCAAACAGACTTTAAGGCAGCTGCTATATCAGCTCTCAAGTTTGTATTTCCTAGCATGATTATAAAGGGTTAAATTTATGATTTATATTCTAATATAATTTTGTATAGGATGTTTTTTCCATTATTCGCAAGCGTTATGGCGAAGATGTCAATCTTTAGGGTTGGTAAGCTTGTATCTGAACCACTCCAATGTTCACAAAGTTGTTAGGCGCATGACAACTTTGCCTTTTTGTAAGGAGGAAGATATATCTAGGGTAAGGCAAAATTGTTATATTATGGCGTCTGAAAATCCCATGCTCATGGATTTTATGGAGTATATGGATACGACATGGCTAGGACTTAATGCCATATTTCCTCATAATCATCTAGAGGGGTTTCATCATGCCTTAAAGAGAAAAACGGCACACGCTCACCCAAATGTTTATATTCTTATAAAAACTTTAATAGGTCATCAACATTCTAACGACCTCAAAATTATCCAGATCAATAATGGATCTAGAGTGCGGCGAAGAAATAGAAAATATGAAAGAATCGATGAGCATATTACAAATTTAACACAAATATATGAAAGAACTTCTGATATTACAGAATTTTTAGATAAAATATCTTTTTTAGTAAATTTTAAATATTAAAACTATCAATAAATATCCGTTTTTAATTTTATTATAGTTTTATTTTATAATAATAAATTTGTAAATGTTGATTTTTTTTATATACATGCACAAATAAAATATATTATCAAAAAATAAAAGATTTATTAGTGAATTTTTTTAAAAATGTTTTTGCTAGGTTTAAGACAATAAGTTACGAAGATAACAATAACTTAGAAATTTATTAAAGAAGTTAAATAATTTCACACTCGATATTTTAACATTTGCCATTATAATTTGTATAAAAGCAACTTTCAACTAATCCTGGTACATATAATGCTCTATTGGTAATATTTTTATTTATTGAAATATATTTTAACAAAATAAATAAAAACTATATAATATATTTAACAGACTTAATCAAATATCATGAATATATGTTTTATTAACTAGATGCCCTTAACCATATTTTGTATATTAATTATTATTTTTTTATATTAACATTATTTAAATCAGATTAATCTAAGGTATAATGATATCTATTTGGTCACTCTAAATAATATTAATTTTTAAATAATTTAATAGGGTTGGACCTTCAGTTAATTTAATATGGAATTATAAACAAAACATCTTAAAAAATTAGTCCACTGAATGATTGAGATTAGGGCTTTTAGATTTATTATCAACCCCATTAGAGAGAAATCTAATGATGAAGATTGTATCAAAACAAGGATCTATTGAACCATTGAAAGAAAGTTTTTATCATAAAATTTTAAATAGGCACTATCACTTTTTTAAAAGTATTAGTAAAATCGGATGATAGTAATTTTATAAATTTTAATTAATGTAAATTTATTTTACTTCTTTTTCCGGTATTAATTTTAATTTTTCTTTTACTTTTCTCTTTGCAATTTTTTTTAAAACACAAAATATTTTGTAGCAAGGGGAAAAAATGAATGAAAACAACTATATTATTTATATTTTATTTTTTCTTTACTTTATATATATTTCTACAAACAATAAAATAATAATCAAATTTTTATTGCGAAAAAAAACTAACAAAATATTATTGATACAAATAGTTATCGCTCTAAAACAATTAAACAAAAAAAAATCGATAAAAGTATCGCTCTACAAAAAAAATAATTAACAAAAAAATAGATAAAAATAGTTATCGCTCTACAAACAAAAATATAAACTATATCATGAGTAAGAATATTTTTCTTTTTTAAAAGCTATAATTAATGTTCAATAATTGTAATTATAAATTTATTAAGATTATCAGAGTTGTATAAAAAGTATCTGTATCTATATACTACTTCAGAGGTATCTGTATCTGTTTATAGATAAATTTTGATATACTTTTATTTAACTTTTTATTTATCTAAAATATAAAAATAAGTGCTAATTTTACCTCATATGTATGAGCATATTATTTAAATAAATATATATTATAAAAATATTAAGACTAATATAATAAAAAAATATATATAATATTAAAACTTATTTATAAAAAAATATATATTATTTTTTTCCCATTTATATCTATAGATATCAGTTTAAGATTGTGAAGGATATTTTTATCATGCAAGGGAATTTATAAATCTTCGCTTAGCCATGACACCTAATAATTATAAACAATACCATTGGTGCACCAAATTATTTTAAGCAATTAATTTAGAATTTTGTAAAATAATTTTATGATATTCCGCTAACTTTTAATAAATAAATTAAAAATATTTTTAAATTTTAAATCTATTTTTTATTTCGATTGAAAAAAAATTATTAAAAAAATTGAAATCTAGCAATAACTATTATAATTAAGCACATTTTACTCAAAAACAAAGATGAATTCTACTTAATTTTATATTTTAATTTAATTTTATTATGGTTTTACTAATAAATAAAAATTAAAAATAATTTTCGATTGCTTCCCTAGTAGTAAACTTGATATACACCTAAATTATAATAACATCATATCAGTGGCGTAGCTAGGAATTTTCCTTAGAGGGGGTCCATACATATAGCTGGGGGGCTTCGCCTCCCAGATCCCCTTTAACGGGCCTTCGGCCCTTTTATCAAGGCCTTCGGCCGGGTTTATCTTACAAATAACCATATCTTCGTTAATATATAATAAATATATTTATTAAATACATCAATAATATGTTATTATAATTTAGTAGATTATTCTCAATGACTTTATAATAATACTATCCAGAATAATTTCAATAGTAATATAATATACTTCCACAAACATCAAAACCAGAAAAATATAATTGATATAAAATCACTTTTAAGTCTTTTGAACGTATAATCTAAAAATAATCTCCAAACTCGAAAACCACCCCCGTAGCTACGCCACTGCATCATATATGTAATATGTAGGTAAATTATATATGGTATATTTATTTATTATACATGTAATATACATATAAATAATATTTAAATATATTTACTTAACATATATATATTTAATTTTACTGTATATCGATATTATTTAAGATAATATGTACCTAAATTATAATAAGATCATATTTATAATATGTAGGTAAATTATATATGGTATATGAATTTATTATACTTGTAATATACATATAAATAATATTTGAATATATTTAATATTTTAAAATATTTATTTAACACATATATATATATATTTAATTTCACTTATATCGGTATTATTTAACTAACATATTGATTATATATTATAATAACATCATATTTATAATATGTAGGTAAATTATATATGGTATATGAATTTATTATACTTGTAATATACATATAAATAATATTTAAATATATTTAATATTTTAAAATATTTATTTAACATATATATATATATATATTTAATTTCACTTATATCGGTATTATTTAACTAACATATTGATTATATATTATAATAACATTATATTTATAATATGTAGGTAAATTATATATGGTATATTTATTAATTATATATGTATGTAATATTTAAGTTTATATTTAATATTTTATTATATTTATTTAATATAATATATATGTAATATTTATTACACATGTATATATTTTTTATCTATTAATCTTTCTAAACAAATATTTATAATATATGTTATTTATTATTTAAATTTTCTAGTGGTAACATAAAATGAGTATGTTTATGCTATTTTGATTAATGCGATTTAGACCTGAATCCATCCAGTGCAGTGAATTTGTATCCACTGTTTGGTAGTAAAATTTGCCCTACTATCAAGGCCCATTTAATTAAAGAAGGATGATGGTATCTGATCTACAAATTGACAGTAATTTACCCTACTGTCAAGGCCCGACAGTAATTTACATTGGTTAGAAAAATAAATAGTGTGCTTATTTGAGTATTTGTTTCAATAGATTAGTGAATTTTTGAATGATTATATAAATCCATAATTGTAACAAAATATTTGATGATAAATCTAGAAATAAAATTAATGAATGATTATGAAAAATTTAATTAGTTATTTTGTGAAAATTATGTGATGTATCATTGCACCTAATCATTAATAGTTTATCATATTAAAAACACAAAATTAAGTGGCTTCCACACCACCCAAAAGGAGGCATATCCAGTGCAGTGAATTTGCATCCACTGTTTGGCAGTAAAATTTACCCTATTGTCAGGGCCCATTTAATTAAAATACGAATGGCATGCTATTTTGACTTCTCCCTTAACACTCAATCCTAATTGCTATGTATACTTAATAAATTAAGACTGGGTTTTGACCCAATAGCAATTATTTTTGCTAATAATCTTCTAAATAGCCAATTGCAATGGGTGGAATACCACCATATAGTTTTTGTGGCACATCAAGTTGACCCCATGTTTCATTCAAATCTATGTTAGGAGGTCTTTGTTTAAAAGAGTATTTATGAAGTTAAGTGCATTTAAATGATTTTTTGTGATAAGAGAAGGTTTTATATGAAATTATGTATATTTAATAGTTCCTCATCACTTAATTATATAAAATACCATGATATATTTTTTAAAAATCATCTTTATTATTATTCTAAAACTGGAGATAGAATAAATATCCAAATTTTATTTTTATTATTTTAATAAATACTTCTTTAAATCTAAAAATTTTATATAATAAGAATTACTATTTATTTTAAAAATTTAAATATATTTTAATGTAATGAATAAAAATTATATTCTTTTTAATTTTTTTGTTTTTTGAACCAGTAATATAAGGATCTTTATATAAAACCATACAATCAGTTAAAAAACACTCTTAATTCCATTTACATAATACTTGAAAATGTTTTAAAGAATCCGAATAATATATTTTTATCATTAAGAAAAAAAAGGGAGATAGAATAATCTAATACTAGCTATAATTTATTTATTAGTTAATATCTAAGATTTTTATATGTAAATAGATTAATATATTCTTTAATAAACAATCAATCAAAAAAAATTATTTTTGGCAAAAATGGGGATAGAATAATCTCTAACTCAGGTGACAAAATTTTTAATGAGGGATGCCAGGTATAATATATTTACTAATGTGCCTGGGTCAGGACATTGTTTTAAAAAAACTAAAAATTTAAATTTAGCCTATTAAACTGTTTTTAATTAACTTTAAAATATATTGCATTTTCTTTCTTTTAATTATAATAAATGTCAGTTGCAAACAAAGTGATTACCTAAATACACTTTATTGTTTATTTATTCATTTAAAACAATAAATTAAATTTTTGGATTTGGACTTGGGCAAAATTTTTGAAACTTATGATGAGCTTGGGTTTGAATATTTTATTAAATATGGACTGGGCCTGCAAATTATTTTTATTGCTGACCTGGGCTGGAGGCTGATGAAAATCAAGTCCCGTGAAGGTCTTTAATTTCAATAACTGAATTATTTAATTTTCCATCTGACTTTATTTAAACTTAAAGAAATAATCAAACCACAAGATGCCTTATTTAAATCATTTGAAAAAATTCCTGAAAATTGATGGATTCAAGAAATTGTTGTACACAAAGAAATAAAGAAAGCCATTGTGAAGTGTATATATGGAGGAAATAGTAATCCATTTTTATTTTAGCATAAATAACAAAAAAAATAATGCCTGTTGTGACCTTTCCTTTTACATATATTTTA